GGTGTCACTTGCTTTAAGCCTGAAAAAACTTTTGTATTTTTTGTAAGCCAGACATTCTCTCAATTTTTGTTTATTTGGAAATGTTATCCCCCCCCTTCTTTTTGAAGGATCTGGTTTTTTGGATCTAAGATACTTGGTTGAACGTATCCCTTGTCCTCTCTCTGCTATACCACAGGTCCTATGGAGCAGCAACAAGCCCACTCTGCTTTGTATTGTTCTCAGAGGCCCCTGGGCATCTAGAGTATGCCAAATCCTATCAGCAATTCAAGATAGTCAAGACAGAAACAAAAGCCCCTGGAAAAACTGGCATGTTGGATGTATGCTCCACTCTTCTCTTTCCCCCTGGAAGAGAGGCTGCCAAGCTGTATCAGCCTCTGTCAGTTGTATCAGAAGTCCTTCGGAGCAGTAGTATACTGCCCAGCTCTTTTTTTCTCAGTGGTCTCCAGGCATCTAGAGTATGCTAGATCCCATCAGCACTCTGAAAGAGGCAAGACAGAAGCCAGTGCATCAGGCAGTCCCTCTGAAACGTCAGAATGTTGGGCTATGGTCCAGGCTTCTTTCTTCCCCAAGGAGAATCAGGAGCTGAGAGTTTCCTCCCAATTGTGTGGCACTGTGCCAGGGGAGGGACTACTGAGAGAGGGTGCCAGGAATTTTCCTACTGGCTTTGATAAGAGTTGGTGTTGTACTTACCTTGGGTTTAAGAGCCTCTTAAATGGTTCCTGGATTTCTCACAAAGGAAATTGGTTTAAACATTGTTGTTAAATTGGTGTGTCCACAGAGGGTCTGCCATCTTACTGTCCTACCAGGATCTCTGTGGCTTCTATGTTTAAAATAGTTGATGCAGGGAAGAAGCAGGTAGGTCATTTAGAAGGCCCTATAATAATTCAAGTGTAAGATGATGGTGATTTGGGCCAACAGGGTAGCACTGGAGGGTGTGAAAAATGGTGGGACTCTTGATAAATTTTGAAGATAGAATGCATAGGGTTTTCTGGTTAATTGGAAGCAGGAATTGTGAAGATAGGACAATGATGACTCAAGGATTTTTCTTTTTTCCTGAGCAACTGAGGGGATAGAATTGTTTCTGATTGAAATAGGGAAAGATTTAAAATGGACAGATAGGGTGAGTGGGGAGGGGAAAGATCAAGATCTTTCTTTGGATATGCTAATTTAGATTTGTCTATAATGCAGTCAATTGGAGAAGTCAAGCTGATACAATCCTTCAACAGTTTTCACATCAGATCTGTAATAATGGGTATACTAATCAGCATAAAAATTTTAGACACTAGTTTTCATGTTTAAAACTGAAAATAAATAACATTCCAAATACATGAATTGCCTGTAAATATCGTATAGGCCTGGCTACCTTTGCATAAATAAGGTAAAAGAAAAAGTAGGCCCAGTAGTGGCTCCCTCCGCTGAGAACTCCAATCTATTTTCATGGGATCCTGCTGCCTGATACCACTAAATGTATAGTTGAATTCTACACTAGATTTTGTCATGTTTGGTTTAAAACTAGATTATTGCCCCATGTGATATGAATGAAGCTCTTATGTAAAATGCTTGTGGAATGTCCAAAGGGACAGATAGCAAGGGCTTCATCCTCTTTACAGATAGGTTGAATAACTGGAGACTTGGCTGCTTAAAACTGTACATGTGGTAAAATGCAGACTAAATTTTGCTTGCAATATAACATAACACTCTGTAGTAAGGTTGTAGGGGAGGAGACCTGTGACCCTCACTGGCAAAAGAACATACCAGTTGTGGAAAAACCAATTTGGTTTAGGTCTTTTTGCAACTCTGTTTTCTATACTTTTTATGGCACTTATTCCCCATCTTATGTTATAGGCTTCTAAAAATGTAATCCCTATCTGCACTAGACTGAATTCCTTGGGGGCAAGGGCAATGTTTAACTTGTTCACTTTTATGCTCCTCTAGCCTTAGTCACATGCCTTGAACATAATAAGCACTCAGTGAATACTTGTGGGAATATGACCTAAATTCAACTGAATTTGACCCTGCACCTTGAATCTAAGAAAAGTAAATGCATAACCATGATTGAAAGCTGTATAATCCATCCAAGAAAAATAAGCACCTTTCTCTTTAAAAGATCATTCCTTTTTAAGTTCTTTGTCATATTAACGAAAAACAAAAACTCAATTTTAAACACTACCAATTTGCATCTAAATAATTAAAAAACCCTAAAGAAAAAGTAACCTAAGATTTAATTGGTAGTATGTGTATTTTAAAGTTTTATGAGCTAATTTATATTCCACAGTGGTACAAAACTCATAACTTTCACCAGTTCTAAAACTAATCTTCTCCTACATTTTCCATTAACTTCACTAGACTCAATGTTTTTTGTTTTTTTTTTTTTTCTGGATGTTCAGAACATGAACAAGCCACTTGTTAAACTTTGCCTAGTATCTCATATATTTTATCACATCATCCTAAATATAAGTTTGCTTGGATACAAATTTATTTTCTATAAATTAAAGTAAAAAGATAAAATTTTCACTAAAAAGAGGAAATAGTCCTTCTAAACCATGGATCTAAAAGGATACAGGTATAACAGACAACTGTGGCACTCTTTATGGTAGAAACCTCAAATTAAGAACACTAGATGAACACATATTTATGGAAGGCTTTTTTATTTACTTTTGCAAATTAACTTTAAACTAATTTTTTTTCTTACATTACTGTTTAGGAAAACAAACAAACAATACTACACAGCACCTTAACAGGTAATTTTATGTTTGAAATTTAAAATCATTATGTCCAAATTTTATATGTTGTGACTTATTTTAACCAACATTTCCATTCCTTCTAAAGAAAACATATATAGGTAATATTTTTCTGCATTTTTGTTTTATAATGCACACACAAAAATTTGACTGATTTAACAAAGCCAACAAACTAATCTTATCCATAGGTCTTATTAAAGATATTTTTGCCAGCAGTGATGTGAAAACACCTACACATGAAAAACAGAGTATAGACCCAATTTAAAACTTTTATGTTACCCAAATATACCATGAGTGGACTGTAAAAAAAGTCAGCTGGGTAATCCTATGCATGCTTACTGAGAAGAACAGGTTTGAAATGTAAAATGACTTTTAAGTGGGAAGTTCTAGCAGTTCTGTTTTTTGGTTTGGTTTTTTATTTTTTGTTTTGTTTTGTTTTTTACTAGCCTCTACAAATATTTATTGTAACACTTAAATAGAACTGCAAGAATCCCTTGGCACTGATAGAGAATATTGATTCTCTGTTAAGGTAAAAAAACTCATTCATAGCGAAATTAAATGTTCTTTACATAAAAATATTAGACTATTAAAAAAACTTTCAAATACTTCTGGTAATAGCTAACAGAATTAGAAAAGTAAAATTAACCATTAGATACTGCCTGTTTCAGAACTCTGGACTCCAACAGCACCTCCACTGCTCTAAAAAAAAAATATTTAAGTCTGTCATGCAATAGGAAAACAAAAGAACGAGCTATTCTGGAGCAACTGTTCTACATAGAGGAGAGCTTCCCCCAATTAAAAAACAAACAAGCCCTGGCCAGTGTGGCTCAGTTGGTTGGGTGTGGACCTGTGCACCAAAAGGTTGCCAGTTCCATTGATATTTTGCTCTCACACTGATGTTTCTCTTTCTCTCTCTCTCCCCTTCTCACTTCCTCTCTCTCTAAAAAATTAATAAACTAAGCTTAAACAAATAAACTAAAATCCCACTGCCACCACTAAAAAAAAACCCATACACACACACACACACACACACAAAAAAAAACAAAAACAAGAAAACAAACAAAAAAACCTAGTCAAGATCCAAATAGGCATTTTTAGGCATCATCAATAACAACAAAAAGAATTCAGATGAAATATTATACTTGTTGCTGTTCAATCTTAATAGCCTCTTGATAAAGGCAGGTTTCCTTTCATTTTAATATATTTCTGCACATGTATATGTTTTAAAATTCAGGAAACAGACAAAATGCAAGGTAATTCTTAGCATGAATATACATAGTTAACTATATATCATGCAGCCCCCTTTAAAAAGCGCTGATGCCCCCAACAGTTATATGTATCATTTCATGAAGAACAACACAAAGTTTACCTTCACTAATACCTGATACCACAGTCACTTAATATTCTGGAACACTGAGATTGAGAATGCAAGTTTCTTTTGGAAATGGCTTAAGATCAAGCATTGTTTTGTTTTTGTTTTTTTGCTGAATATCAAACCCTATTATCCCAGGAAATGAAGATTTAGATAAGAAAAAGTGAAATAGATACCAACCTTAATTTAAATCAGTTAAGTACTCAAATCTATACAAGTAGGTTGATGGTCTATTTGTAATTAAGTTTTAGATAGGTGATATGAAACTGTATGTAAACTCACTATTCAGACAGTAACTGCAGAACCTGGTCCTATTCTATTTCTAACAGGACCCAGAACCAAAGTTTGACCCTTAGATAGACCACTGAACAAGTAACACTGGTGTTAACCCAGTCCTACACTCTCTAACAGACTTGATGGTGTGAGTACTGGGTGGGTTTGTTTTTGAACTTTCTCATTCTAAAAGCTGCAGTCAGACACGAACAGTGCAATGTGTACATTCTTAACTGTATATTGTGAACAATGGAGAGCGACTTGCTTGCCTTGGCTGAGGTGGGAGCTGAGTGATGGTGATTCCCGGCAGGAACATGTGACAGGACTGGGCAAGATGCAGAGGTGACAGAGCCATGTGGATGATGCAGACTCATCTCTGGCCATGGCCCAGGCCTCCAAGGCTGTGTGGTGGAAGAAGTGGCAGTAGCTGTTGTTTCAGTGTTATAGCACAGAGCATGATTAAAGTCTCACAGGTTACATGCTAACAATGCAGGTTGAACAGGAAGTTCTCAGTCTGGGTGTCCCAGGTGTGGTGGCCCACCCAGTATGGTCTAGGTTAGGTGGGCAGCTCTGGGTCCAGGCCAATGTCCTACATGTCCCTCTACTGGTGCTCCTCATTCAGTGTGCAGCAAAGGTGGCTTTTTCAAGCTAAAATTGGACCAGTTGATGGACAGTCTTTGTCGGGTCTGTCGGGCAGAATCCAAGCAAAATCTTTTGAAATACTCTACTTCCCTCTCTGTCTCATCCATATCCACATTGTCTAGGTCAATATCTTTAGGCATAAAGACATCATCAAGCGAGCTATCATCTCGGTCTTCCTTTTTCTTCCTGTTTTTCTTGCTCTTGCCCCTGGGTTGAGGGAGGTCTACCAGTGCCAGCTTGTTGTATGCCTGTCGGATGGGGCAGGCAGGCTCAGTGGGGCCTGGGCTGGCCTTCCCATCTTTGACCTGGTTCATCTGTTTCTTGTTATTGTTGTTTCTGTTAGCTTTTCTCTCCTTTTTCTTCTGCTCTGCCAGTGAAGTGAGGTCAAGAACTTTAGCCTTTGCCTCATTCTGGGGCTGGGGTCTGGGCTGGCCTTCTGAGGCTCTCAGGAACTCTGCAGGCCTTCTTGTTGGCTCGCTGCTGGCCTTCCATCCCTGTTTTGGCTTCTTTTTGCCAATACCCTTCTTGTGGTGGTGCTTTATGTCCAGGAGAAAAGACAAGGGCTCCTGCTGCTTCCCACTGACCTCCTTTGGCAGGACAAGCCTGGAGTCCCCATGAGCCCCTGGCCCTGTGTGGTCTGCATGTCTGGAAGGGGAGTGAGATGAGGTTTTTGGTGTTTCAGTTTGCTCTTGGGAACCACTGTGCATGTGTGCAGAGTCAGGCACAGACCTTGTTGCTGCCTTGAAATTTCCACCAAGCATGTCCAACTTGAGAAAGTCTTTACTTTTTCTCTCCTTTTTCACAACTCCAAGCTTCTGAAGCTGCTGAAATTCCTCTGTGAGCCGCAAGTCCACCTCTTCCTCCAGTTGCCTTTCCTCCTGTTGTCTCTGCTCCCGTTGCCTCTGCTCCTCTCGGAGTTGCACTTGCTCCTGGGCCTCAGCCTCTGCTTCAAGGCGAGCCTTCTCCTCCAGCTTTCTCTGTTTATGTCTTGCTCGCTTGGCTGTGCGTGCACTGCTCACGGGCTTGGTCTCTGTGCTGTTTATGAACTGCAGCAAGTCCTCCACTGTGCGATGATCCACTATTCTCTCCTGTTCTGAGAGCTGGTCCGTTTTCTTAGATTGCTCTTCTTTTCTCTTAGCCAGCCGGAAACGAAGTTTTTCCCTCATGTCTTCATAATTCCTGCCCCTTGGTATGGCTGAAGGCCAGCTGTGCTTGAAGAATTCACAGCAGTAGTCACAATACTTGCCCTCCTTCTGGTTGGTGCAGGTGCAGGTGCAGGCGCAGGCACAGACGCAGCTGCTGGTGCTAGTGCTGGAGCTGTGCTCTGAGCAGCTGTCTTTGTCTGCACTCTTGTCCCTGCCTTCCTGCTGTGGGTCATAGATGCTTTTTTTGCAGCATTGCCCTTCACAGTTGGGGTTGTAACAGGCTGGCAAGGCCAGGGTTGAGCCACTGAGCAGAAGGCCCTCAGGGTCCCCCAGAGCATCAGACCTCATGTTGTTCACTACGTCGGTATTGTTGTTATTGAATGGATAAATACCAGAAAATTTAGCTGACAATGAAGCTACCTCATCTTCACTACAAAAAGCTGGTGTAGAGATAGTGCCTGTGCCGATGAGCCTGGGAAGCTGCTGTGTTGTAATGGAAGAGCTAGAATGTGGCCCCGAGCTTTCCAATGACATGCTGGGCAGGTGACTCTCAGAGAGACAGTCAGCAGCAGAGCCCACCTGGAGTGGCAGCTGGTGGGTGTTGCTGATGGTGGGAGGCTTCATGATGCTACTCCTGAGGATGTGTGAGTGGCTGCAATCATAGGGGCAATCAGGAACACATGGTGGTGAGGAAAGCACATGCCTCATGGCATCCATGAAGTTCTCACCAGTGCCTGCTTTCTTATTGGTTAACTGCTCTTCATGGAATTGCCTTTGTTTAAAATGCTTCAAGTCTTTTGTTAACTTGGTTTTCATTGTCATCTTCTCACTGATGTAGGTGCTGACCCTCTTCTGGCACTCCAGCCATTCCTTGGCGACCCTGCGCAGTTCCTCTTCCAAGCGCTGGTACTGCTGTAGCAAGGTGCTGTATGTGTCCTCACTGCAGGCACTGGGCATTGTGATTCCCAGCCTGATTTGTGACACCAATGCTGGCAAGTTGCTCTGGAGAAGGGGCTCCGCAAAAACCAGATTTTCAAACAGGTGTTTATTATGCATTTCCCATGTCACCTGGAATGCATTCAAGTGTTTATTTTCTAGAGTGACTAGGAAGGTGCTGATGGTGCGTGCCGCCTGGCAAAGGGTGCTATACTCCTTGAGAAGGAGGGAGATGAACTGGTGGGCCTGCAGGGGACTTTGCAGGCAGGATGGCACTCCCACTCTGGATGCTGCCGATAGCTGCCGCAGGAGGCCTATCTTCATCTCCAGCACATAATCTCGTGCTTGTTGATCCAACCGCTGGTACAGCTGGGAGGGGTCTGATTTGCAGAGCCTATCCACGAGCTCCTTCACCCCTTCCTTGTCGGGTACCAGTGGGGTCTCTGCCCCGCGGTATATGCAGCAAACAATGTAGCGGAGTTCTGACCAGTAGTTCTGCAACTGCTGTGACTCCAGGTCTGTCTCTGTTGAGATCTCTCTGGGCTTATTGCAGGCCTCAGGGGCACATGCGGTGTCCAAGGGTGGGGGCTGAGCACCCAGAGCTAGCCTACCGCCTTCTGCTTCTTCTGCCAGGGACCCACCAAGAGAGCCATGGACAAGTAAGTCTTGGCCCTGTGCTGACTGGTCCAGGCTGCCATAAATCCTCAATTTCTCCACGGTCCACTGGCAGTGCAGACACACCCACAGCAGCTTGTGTGGCACACTGCTGCCCTTGGGAGCTATGGAAAGGCCCAATTTGCTTGCAGCCTTAATCCCACTTTCTAAGAAAGAAGAATCTTTCCGCTTATTTCTGCACAGAACACAGTAATCAACAGCGGGGTAGGGTGGAGTTCTTTGAGTGCTGACGACGTTAAAAGAAGTTTCCAAATAGCCTCCCAGGGCTGCGCTGCCCACATACTCACTCACGCTGTGGGGGCTGTTTGCCACTGCTGTAGAGAGGGGGGCCGCTATGACGGTGGCCTGGGAGCCACACAGCACTGCAGATGGGGAGTTCCTGATGCTGCTCACTCCACTGGGGTCCTTGCCTCCACCACCCCGCTTGTTCTTACGGCGCTTGGCCCCTCCTTTGGCATTGGGTCGGCTCATAGCTACAGGAAAGCTAGAGGCCTGCAGCCAGCTGGGAAGGGGGAAGGCGTGCAGTGGGTACTGGTCACAGGAGGTGTCTGAGGACAGGGAGGCCGAGGGGGCCACGGGTCACTCAGGCTAGGCTGGCTGAGGGTTGGGGCACTCCACGTGGTTACCTTGTCACTTTAGGGCAGGTGGGGAAGATCTGGTTGGCGGCAGCTGCTGGGAGGCCGCTAGGCAGGAAGAACAGCGAGTCCACCACTGTGGCACTGACCAGAGTTAGAGTCCAATATGGCTGACACAAAGGGAAAGTGATCCCAGTTTACATCGCGGAGGGAGAAGGAGCAGCCCTGGGGCTGGGGGGGGGGGGGGGCGGGAGCTGCCAGGAGGGGGAAGGAGCTGCCAGGAGGGGGAAGGAGCTGCCAGGAATGGCCAGGAGGGAGAGGGGTATGAGCACCCTACCCCTCCTGCCTGATAGCACTTAATTTAAAGAAAAAAATTCAATTAAAGTTTAATTATATATATATATATATATATATATATATATATATATATATAGTCCCCGCCCCAGGAAGGAAAGGAAATCTATGCATTCAAATTTATGGAGGTTATAGAAATCATGTTGTAGTTTAAAAATGGTCAAAGATCAGCAATTTTATAGGGTTCATCCTAATTCTGAACCAGAGTTTAAACCTAATGATCTGTTATCCAGCTACAGTATATTTCTAGTTGATACTAATTTTCCTGACTGAAGTATTTCCTGATGGACCCACAGACTGTGATTCATACCTGACTTGTAAGGTTCCTTCCACCAGTCCATTTTAGGGACTACACTGGCTCCTTTTCTTGTCAACCATCATTATTATCCACTTCAAAAGTTTTTTTTAATTTATATTTATTGTTGAAAGTATTACAGATGCCCTTCTTTTTCCCCCATTGATCCCCCCTCCCAGCCTTCACCTCACTGTTGTTCCTTTCCATTGGTTGTGCATATGTGCATATAAGTTCTTTTGTTTATCTCTTCCCACCCTCCCCACCTTCTCTGAAGTTTGTCAGTCTGAACCATACTCTTTTCTATGTCTCTGGGTTTATTTTGTCCATTAGCTTATTTTGTTCATTATATTCCACAAATAAGTGAGATCATGTGGTATTTGTCTTTCTCTGGTGGGCTTGTTTTGCTTAGCATAATACTCTCCAGGTTTCTCGATGTCATCATCTCAAAGGATGAGAGATCTTTCTTTCTTACAGCTGCATAGTACTCCACAGCTTTTTTATCCATTCGTCTATTAGTGGGTATTTGGGCTGTTTCCAGATCTTAGCTATTGTAAATAGTGCTGATACAAACACAAAGTTAAATATATTCTTCCGGAGTGGTGTTTCAGGCTTTTTAGGATATATTCCTAGAAGTGGGATCACTGGGTCAAATGGCAGTTCCATTTTTAATTTTTTGAGGTAACACCATATTGATTTCCATAGTGGCTGCACCAGTCTGCATTCCCACCAGCAGTGTACTAGAGTCCCCTTTTCTCCACACGCTCGCCAACACTTGTTTGATGCTTTGTTGATGGCGGCCATTCTGAGAGGTGTGAGGTGGTACCTTGTTTGTGTTTTAATTTGCATCTCTCTGCTGATTGGTGATGTTGAGCATTTCTTCATATGTCTCTTGGCTATTTGTATGTCCTGTTTGGAGAAGTGTCCGTTCAGGTCCTCTGCACAATTTTTAGCTGGATTGTTTGTCTTCATTTTGTAGAACAGTATGAATACTTTCTATATTTTAGAAATTAACCCCTTATCCAATGTATGATAGGCAAATATTTTCTCCTATATAATGAGTACACTTTTCATTTTGATGCTTGTTTCTTTTGTGGTATAGACACTTTTTAGCTTAATATAGTACCATTTGTTTATTTTTTCCTTAGTTTCTCTAGTGTTTTTGGATTAGTTGGATATATAGCTAGAAGTAGAATCACTGGGTCATAAGGCAGTTCCATTTTTAATTTTTTAAGGAAACTCATTACTGATTTCCATGATGACTGCACCAATCTGCATTCCCACCAACAGTCCATTAGGGTTCCCTTTTCTCCACATCCTTGTCCACACTTCTTATTTGTTGATTTACTGATGATAGTCAATGAGGTGGTATCTCATTCTGATTTTAATTTGCATTTGTCTGATTATTTGTGATATTGAGGAACTTTTCATGTCTCTTGGCCATCTGTATGTCTTCCTTAGAGAAGTGTCTATGCAGGGCTTCTGCCCACTTTTTAATTAGATTGTTTTATGATGCCAAGTTGTCTTCATTCTTTATAAACTTTGGATATTAACCCCTTATTAGTTGTAGCATGGGTGAATGTGTTCTCTCATTCAGTAGGCTGTATTTTCATTTTGTTGATTCTATGAAGGCTTTTGGGTTTCTCATTGAAATATAAGTTCTTAGAAATTTAAAGCAAATAGTCATTAATGTAGAGCTGATATGTATTTCTTAAGAAAAATGATGAAAAGTAAGTCATTTTATTAAAATGAAGTAAAATTGATTCCTGAAAGCTTTTCAATGAGTCAGAATCCATCTTCCTCAATGGTACATTTAGCAAGATTATAGGAGCTCACTTTAGCATTATTGAAAAAAGAAAAATTTCTAATTGCATCAGGAAATTAGAGGGAAATTATGCTATTTAAAAAAAAAAAAAAATCACCCAGATAGAAAAAAATGGTGGTGTAGTGAATGGAAGCTACACAGACCATCTCCCAGGACCAAACTGGAATAAGAACAAAAATAAAGACAAATATTCAGGAAGGGGCAACCGAAAGGCAGCCTGGAGGACCACATAACCAGGGCCACTGACTCAATCCTGGTAGGCTTGTGAGGATGCCTGAGGTGGCCGGGAGCCCACGGCACGCAGCGGCCTCGGCTGGGACCAGTGGCCTCAGCTGGAAGCTGCGCCCTTGGCTGAGACCTATGGCCTCAGCTGGGACCAGCGGCTGCCTCGTCCCACGTGTACTTAAGAAGAATGTGATTTCTGTAGTTTTGTGGTGAAGTTCTCTGTAAATATTTATTAAATTCATTTGATCTATTGCATCATTAAAGTCTTTGTATCCTTGTCAATTTTTTCTAGAGGAACTATCCAGTGATGTCAGTGGGGTGTTGAAGTACCCTGCTATGATTGTGTTGCAGTGAATTTCTCCTTTGAAGTCCTCCAGAAGTTTTTAAATATATTTTGATGCTCCTATATTGAGTTCATATATGTTTACCAGGGTTATATATTTCTGTTGGATAGATCTTTTCATTATTATGTAGTGGCCTTCTTTGTCTCTAGCTATGTCCTTCATTTTGAAGTCTTTTTTACTGGATATGAGTATTGCTACCCAAACTCTTGTTTTCTTGGAAGATTTTTTTTTCATCCGCTCATTTTCAACATATGTGAGTCATTTGTTGTGAGGTGGGTCTCTTGTAAACAATATATATATATATATGAGTCATGTTTCTTAACCAATCAACTACTCTGTGTCTTTTGATTGGAGTATTTAATTCATTTACATTTAAGGTTATCATTGATATGTACTTGTTTATTGCCATTTTTACTTATTGTGTTTCTGTTTTTCTTTGTATCTCTTCTACTAATTACAGCAGTCCTTTCAACATTTCTTGCAGTGCGGGGTTGGTGCTAGTATATTCCCTTAGCCATTTTTGTCTGGGAAGCTTTTTATTGTTGGTTTTCCCCAACAACTTGTCTTTATTTTACTTATAATTCCAGTTTGGTCCTAGGAGATGGTTTGTGTAGCTTCCATTCACTCTGCTGCTATTTTGGAATTTTTTAGATATCTTACTATAAGTTAAAAAAGATATGATTCCTTCACTTAAGAGGTTTCTATAGTAGACATACAAACAAATAATAATTGTAAGTTCACAGTGGAAAGAACACCTAAATTTATGTGAAGTGGTCAATGAGCACAAATAATATTAAAGAATAACCAAGAAACCATAATATTTGAGATTTTTTTCAATACTAGTTGTGTGACCATAAGGAAATTTCTTAACCTGAGTCTCAATTTCCTCATCAATAAACATGTGCATGACTTCTGCCAGAGAATAATTGTGAAGATTAATAAAATAATATATGCAAGGTTTCTAGCACAGTTCCTGGCACACAGTCAGAAAAACTTAGTAAGTTATATGTACTACTGTTAGTACTGTTATTCCATTATTTTTTCTATTGCTGTTTTATTCTAGCATTAGCTTTTCCTTTTGTATTGCTAAATTTTGTTGCTTTCTACTTCACCTTTACTTTGGTATTTACTCGTTTCTTACCCCAATCCTTCTATCTATTCTCTCATCTATTCTCATCTGTGCAATTATAAGAGAATTGTCACTATTTCTATTGTTATCTTCCAAACCATTCTTTATATTTTACCTAGAGTTGCTTCAGTATTGGGTTTCCTGAACAGCAGCTCAAATTACATGACTCTCTTCTTTAAGAATCTTTGAAGCTTCCTTAGTTCACAAAATAAAATCTTAATGTTTTGGCGTGCTGTTCTGAGCTCTCCTAAGTTGACGCCCACTTATCTTTGCAATTTTTTTCTAGCACTATAAAGTATCTGATGCTCTCCTTTATCCAGTTATAATGAAATGCTCTCCATTTCCTGAAAATGTAATGTATTTTTACCATTTGTGCCTTTATTATGTACAGCATTGCTTTTGGTTGAAATACCATTATTTACCATGTTAAATTATTTTCTTTCTTTCTATTCTAGTTCAAATATCACCTCCTGTGTCCATTATTGAGTAGCAATTTGTAGATCAGTGTTACAGATTATTCCCCTTAGTACTAACTTTTCTTTTCAGAAGAATATAATTTAAACTCTTGAACTTTGCTCTCTGAACTACCTATTGTTTGATTCCTTCTAAGTATGTGTCTAACTGTTCCCTTATACATATCACTGGCTCCAACAAGCTACTAAATTTCTTAAATTCTACTCCTTTATGAAGCCATATAAGTGTTCAAGATGTGCCAGGAGCCCTTGAT